ATTGCCTTAAACCTATAGAAACTGTAAGGTAGAGTTATATATACAGCATTCTTGAATAAAGTTTTTGAAAAGGAGATACCTGATTAAACCAAGAAGCTGAAATAAGAGAATACTCCAAACAAACACAGTAACAGTTTATGGCCCAAAACACAGGCATGCATATGGCTGATAAGGAATTTGAACTGTGTGTACAGACAGGTTTCACTAATTTTTTTTTTTTTTTTTTAAGGAAGATGTGTATGGGGAGAGAAGCAGATGGGGAGGAAGAGAAGCACCATATGAAGCTGACAGAGAAGACAGAAGGAAGCATATGTTGTGACATGAAGACTATAACCCTGAAAAAAGCTAAGGGTAAGTGCTGGCTTAAAGAAGCTTTGAACGCTAAGCTATGAAACACCCTGTTTGATTCTTCCTGAGTTCAAGGAAATAGGATGTTGCATATTCACTCTGAATAAGTGGCAATACATCAAAGAAATAACCAACTCATCAATTTCTCATCTGAAAAACCTGCAGAATTCTAATTTTGGTATAATGCTGAAATTAAAGAAGGGAAAAACAGTACGTTTAGGGTAAGCTATTATGAAGATACCTAAAAGTGTCAAATTGCCAAAATGAGGAAAACAGAATTAGTTTGGTTTAAGGGCACAAACAGGATTTATAACAAACTAATGAGATTTATTTTGAAATCTATTACTCTCTGTCTGAGATACGTAGGAGAAAATAAGATTCAATAGTTGCCTTTTGTTGTAGAGGAGTTGATGCTCGCACCTTCAAGAAATTGAGCAAAAGAACTTTGGTTTTCACTTTAAGAGGTGAAGGGAAAATATATGTGAAGGAGGAAAGAAGTTAACACTGATAAGCAATACAAAATAAAGCTTTTTTCAAAACTGTTATTTAACATTTTTAGACAGAGGGAGATGAAAGAGTAAACAGGTTCTCAGACCAACTCAAACTACTGATTGATGTATGGACAGCGATAGGTTGTACAACGTTACTGTGTTTGTAGGCATTTATTCAAGTGGTGGAGCAGTGAAGGAGGAAAGAAGTTAACACTGATAAGCAATACAAAATAAAGCTTTTTTCAAAACTGTTATTTAACATTTTTAGACAGAGGGAGATGAAAGAGTAAACAGGTTCTCAGACCAACTCAAACTACTGATTGATGTATGGACAGCGATAGGTTGTACAACGTTACTGTGTTTGTAGGCATTTATTCAAGTGGTGGAGCACTTGCATATGATTAATTTCTCCTTCATAAATTAATAGCTAATTAAGAAGGTAATTGAAATGCAAATCACCTACAATTTTATGTTATTTTTAATTCAACTATCTTTATGTAACTATAATCTAATTTAGAATTGAAAGTTTCATATGGTATTTTGTTGACTCACACCATTTAACTTCATTCTCGTTTCTTCAGCTATTTTGAGAGGAGTTTATGATAATATATTTAAAATTCATAATTTACAAATACTATAGAATTTCACTCATCAGACCTCTTGTTTTTCCTCCCAGTGCTAAGTTTCTATGTTTCCTAATAGTCTCTTCGTTTCTTAATGAACAAAGGGTAAACTTTGTGGCACCTACAGATTAAACACAGTAAATGCTTGTTGCTGCTTTCTGCAAAAATAGTACACACAGACACAAAAGCTGGGGAGGCTTACAAGTTCATTGTGTTGAACCGCAAATACAAGGAAAAATTTTCTCTACAGCTGGGTCATATTTCAGAAAAGGAGACCTTAATATTTTATAACATGAGCATCTACGTTAAAGAACTTAAAAATTGTTCTTTACCTTGCAGAGATAAACAAAAACACATATATATGTACTATATGCTACAATTATCAGTAAATCAATAGCTGCAGATTGTGTATGTGATAGAGAATTGAAACTTTTAAGAGTCACACCCATCCCCCCCAAAATAGTTTCTTACCTATCTTATCCATTTTGGATGTCAAAAGGCATTGCTATTGATGGAGTATTTATCATGCATAGGCGGTTGCCTATTTCTTCCCCTGCCCCTCCTGGGCCTGAGAACGATCTCCCTAATTCACTGTTTCAGCGAATGGTCTCCAGCACAAGAGATGGACAGGAGACCAGCAGTGTGCCTTCAGAACTGGGAACGCTCTCCCAGACAGAAATGATGGAGTCACTACAGAGGTCTAGAGGTCTGGAGTGTCAACCTATTTTTTTCTTAAGTAACTCTGTATTCCAGTCAGTCTGTATCTCCTGGGGCACAGAGAAGCAACAGTTTATAAACAGACTGCTAATGCTGTAACTGTTTGTCAGGAATTAAAAACAGAGACTTGAGGCCTGTTGTGTCTCCTGCCAGCCAAGACCAGAAGTATGTACAATTTTAGAACCTATCTCAATTTCCATCATATATAGAGTATTGGAGGAACTACCTAATTAACAACAGGTTTTGCCTTCTGTGCCTAAGCAGTTTAATGAGACCCCTCTCAACTTTCTGCACTTGAAGCCTTTTAAATCTGCCCACTGAGAACCAGTGACCTTGGTTCTTAACAAGGCTCAGAGGCTCTCCCCCTGGGCACCTCCCCATACCTGCTGCCATCCTAGGCCTTTCCATTCACAGTCCACTAGGACTCATGACAGAGAGCGGTCTCATGCACTCATGTGGTGGATCACACAGCTGCCACGGCACACATGGCGAGACCTGCACTGCAAGGCCATTTGCCTCCTGATAGGCTCCTGCAAATGGGGAGCCCCACTTGGAGACCTCATGCTGTCGACATGTCCCCCCTTCTCCAGGTTAAGCAGCAGCCCGCAGCTGAAATACAACCAGGCCAACAGCGGCACCTAAAATGGTGAGTGCCAAAATAGGAAAGCAGCACTGCAAGTAATTAAGAAGCAGGCACATCAGGGAAGTGGCATGACAGGAATAAAATAAGAGTTTCTTTTGCTTGATGTAAGAAATTTGATGGGTTTGTCATAGGTGTCAAGCTGATTCATGGCCCATCAAAAACTATCATGGACTGCAGAGCAAAAAAAGCTGCAGCAGTGGTCTGTTGCCATTTAGGATGCCATCAGCAGTCCAGGAGAGGAAAGTTATCTGGCCCAAAGAAGAGATGGTCTTCTGAAATAGTTAGTGACCAGGAACTGACTTAAGCCTGCAAAGTATCTGCACCATTCACAAACTTGAGCAACAACATTATAAAAAAATTCAAAGACATTAATAGGACTGAAAATTGCATTTATTTTCATCAGGCTCAAGGTTCCAGATACACAGCTTTAAGCCTCAACTAGAGATAACACGAGTGTCCATTAAGGACTAAGGCTGTTTTGAATTAACTATATCGCAATCTTCTACATGTCATTTTTGTAATTTCCACCAGCATGTCTCTGGTGTTAGACTACAGAATTTCCATAAGACTGAATTTCTACACTTTCTACCACCTTAAAAAATAAATACATCTCCATCATCATCCAGGAAATAGTGGTTTCTTTGGAAGACGTAAGGATAGAAGGATGGTGAACATGAAAAATTACATTTTTCAACACTGTATCACTGCAAGAACCAACTAGACAGAATGACAAAAAGAATGAACAGTATATGTTGTATTTAATAACCATTATTACTGATGTGTCAAATTTATTACTTGACAACTTTTCTAATAAGCTTAAGCCCTAGATACGTATTCAAGCTACATCATATAGATTTTTTTGAAAGAAAATATTTATCTAGAGAAGAGGTTTTGTATTAGTCTATCAGTCTCAACTAGATTTTTACTGAAAAGGTTTTTCAGAGCTGAAATGGAACTTTCTGATCTGCTCTGCCTGACTCAGAGCAGACTTAAACAGGATTAAGTAGAAAATTAAACTATAAAAATTTGGGTATTTGGAAGCAGAACTTCCTTGATTTCTCTTGTTTGAGCTGTTCTACTTTGAATAAATAATCAAATAATCAAATATTTGTGGCTAGAATGCACAAACAAGACAGAGACTTGGCAGTCTCTAGTTTTGCAGACAGGGCACTCACATGGCAGTGACCCAGGTTCAAGACCTTGCTCTGAATGAAGGAAAGGAGCAATTTGAGCTCATGTCTTCCACATGAGGGTCAGCACCTTAGCCACTGGCTATTTTTGTGGTTCAGAAGAGCCAGGCTCTGGGTTTTTTGCATGATATATGAAAATGTTTAATTTCACCCCTATGTTGAATAGAATGAACTTTTAAAAATAGTATTCAACACAGCTTTGATTAAAACCTCATGCATACAGTATGCAAAACCACTTGCATACAGTAAGAATTATATATTTTGGATCATGCTTTTTTATTTTATCATTTTTTTAACAGCAGTACCTGTAGAATTGAGCTGCACTTTGGTTATGTTCAGCTTTGCACATGGGACATTTAAATACAAGATAAGTTTTGCTTTAAGCATACAGAGTTTGACTGTGCATGGCTGGCACTGACTACTGTTTTGTTGTAGGAGAGTTAAGATTTACCAGTGGATCTTACCAGTTCATTACTTGCACGGAAATATCTATAAACAGAAGAAAGCATTAGCCAGTGACTCAAGTGACTCGGTTCTGCTGGTTATTGTAATACTGACTTACTCTATAAGGTTAGACAAGTAATTTTGACTCTCTCTTCTTTATTTCAGGCTTCCTCTGTCGATGTCTATATGAAAATCTCTACATCTCTCAATATCTCATTCAGAACACTTCACTCAGATTCTAATACTGGTAGGAGCCTCAAAACCTACTGATATGCTAACAGTAAAATTGCATTAGAGTCAACAAATAACAATTACAATTTATTTAAAATATGGCAAAATATTATGTTTGCAGTCTATAAAGGAGCTTGATCTGTGAATCTTTAGCAAAGAGGACTTCTCAAGAACCAGCTGAAGAAAAGACTGAGAAAATATATTTTAGCAATACTAGTTCCTAATACATTCATATTTCAGTTATACAATGACTACTTGTCTTAAACTTTGAAAGTAACATTTAAAACCCACACGTTTTATGTCTGCAGCTTACCTGTGAGAAACAGCTCCCCAGGCACCGTGCTTATTTGTTAGTATGTTGAGTATCTTCTGTTTCAGCTGATTGGCTGTAACATGATCCCGATGCTTAGCAGCACTGATAAGATGATCACACATCTTCTCCTCCTCTCTTCTGTCAGCAGCATACTGAGCACACTGCGACTAGGAATGAAAGTACATCTACTTCATAAAAGATAGGCTATTTAGAATTGCCTTAAAATGATTACTTACTAAAACTCTTTAAATATGACAAGAACTCTTTAAAATACTTTTAAGAGGAATAGGACGCACCATGCAATTGAAATTGTTCTACTACTATACATTATCCATGAAAAAGCACGCAGTTAGAACATGTAAAAATTGAGCTATCAAGGGCAAAGACAACAGAATTGCAATTAAAAACATATAGCTATATATCTCTGAGTGTAGATGTGTGACCACGGATATGCCTTAAAAGTTGGTCTTTATTTGTAAAAGTTTCATGTGTTCTCAGGTATAAAATACCGGTATAACATACATAACATAATATGCAGGAAAAAATTATGTACACTAGTTTTGATTTTTAAATTGCAATAAAACCTACAACTAAAAAGCCATTTGATAATTTTATTATTATGGATGCTAAAGAGAAACTCCTTTAGCTATGAAATTAAGGAGTATATTTTCTATTTCATATCACAGTATGAAAAATTTTCATAACGTTCTACCACTTCTAAAAAACCCTAATGGTTAAAAAATCACTCATCTTTTAAACTGAAAAATATCTGTTTTCATCATGTTTCCTTTAGGAAACAAATTCAAAACTCTATAGCGTAGAGTTATTAATTCTATCCCGGCTGTAACCAGGACAGTATATTTTAGTTTTGATAAAGCCTTTCTTTATGTATAATAAGCACAATATAATTTTTCCATTTCTTTTCTCAAAATCGTGTTAAGTTCAAATTAAATTTCTCCTCCTAGTAAAGATTCTTTAAAAATGTCTAAACAAAGCAAATAAAGCCATACTAATTAAAATAAATCCCTAAGTATCATTTTCTAGGTATAAATTACAAAGGCTAGATTATTCTCAAACCAGCTGATTTTAAAATCACCTTTTAAGAGACATTTTTGCATGGACAGTTATTGTGCACCATTTTAGAACATTTAACCAACACTCAATGCTGTAACACAATGCTGAATAGAATCCTATTTTCTAATATTCAAAAGAGCAATTAAGTTAACCTCATACTAAATTATAGTTTATTCTTCATATTTCTGCACACTACCTTTTTACTACAGATCACATTAGCATTCAGTAAGATTTTAACAGTGGTCTTTCCACTATGTTACAGCCATTATTTCACGTAATCTATCTGGAAAAGAACAATCGTTACACTAATTCATAAAGGGTTAATTCATTTTTCAATTTATCTTCTTGTACAGGGAAGCACCAATTAGTACAATGATCTGCCTTAGTAATGAGGTTAATATTTCACCAGCTCATTGGACAGTAAAATTAAATTTTCATTTTTCTTCCTGAACAATTACAAAGGTTAACAAAATGAAAGTTAACTGTGAAGCACCCATTCTGGGAGGAATTTCCCTGGCCCTGACTGCACCTGGAGTCACAGGATAAAATTTAGATGCTGGTCCATGGCCTCCCTACTACGCAGGCGACACAGTAACTTAGTGCAGCTCGGGCCAAATCATTTCACCCATAATGATTCAATTAAAGTTTAAAAGGTAAAAATAAAATGGCCACTCACTTCTCTGGCTGAGAGCAATGATTAACATGTACTAAAACCCAGAACATATACCAATACAGCTTATTAAAAGAAAATGACAGATTTACAATTATGCAACAGAGAACTACCAGAAATCTCTTTGTCCCTACTACTTTCAAGTAGGATGAATAATAAAATGTTCAGTTATATACCTACCATTATTAAAGACAATATATAAAACATTCTTTCAGACTTTAACCATCACCTTATTTAAGTACATCTGAGTTCCATATTTAACACAGGCTACATTTCATAATTTTCTTTTATGACTTGCAGATTTTATCTTACTCATCTAAAACATGTAGCTGAGGTTTTTCATGTGACAAATATAATGAAAATTTTCATGTATGAAAAATGTGTTGGTTTCTTTAACAGACAATAAGACTGACTTAAGGCTATTCCTTTAGGGAATTTAGTTAATATTCTAAATCCTATTTGCTAACAGAAGCTGAAAGTTAATTGAATATTCTCATTTTGTCTAGAGTTCTGACAGATCTTATACCTCAATGTATTCTTCAAAGAGCAGATAACTCAATCTTCTATTGTCATCTTAGGTTACTTCATGATGCTCTGATAAATATCAAATGTTATTTATTGTTGAGGCAATATGAAACTTCACTCTGACACACACTTAATTGTAAATGTGATTTTATCTAAGTTCAAAATATCCAGTATATGCTTGGTAATAAAGTTGTTGCAAACCTATATGACAAGTGTCTGCTGTCTGCTCTGACAAAATGAAGGAAAGGTTATGTGTATTCAAAATGACAACAGATATCTCTGTGTCTCACACTTTTCAGCTAGGTCAAGGAGCACAAGAACTAGTACGTCAAAGTGCACATTTGAGAGAGCTGTTTCGAGGAGATAAAAACCTCATCAAAACTAAGATTACTGGTTCCTATTTCTAGCCACCAGGTGCTTGTTGACATTTTCTGACAGATGAATAAATTGATGGAGCTATTTATTATCATCAATACTAAGTCAGTCTATCTTAATCCTAATGTTAGGTCTCTTGAGCATTAAAACATGTGGAAATGTATGTTTATGTATATATACTTACACATACACAAATGTATGCAAGCACAGACAGGTTTGGAAATAATAAAAAAAAGTGATGCTGAAATGTATAAAACACCACAAAAATGCAAACCCACATTTGAGAAAATCATGTCAAAAATTACTTTTAGCTTTACTCCATCACTTTCGCATGAAAATTTTTTAATAGGAACAAAATTAATCCTGAAGAAATAATAAAAAACCTGTTAAATGAACACGTTTTAAAAATAGCTTTTTTGTATATTTGCATCATTTTCAAGCAATGTAATTTAAATTGTATACCTGAACACTCATTGATGAAAAAAGCAATCAAATGGTGACTCCTTTTAGGAGTAAGAATTATAGACATTAAAGAGTTATGGGATCCAGCTGCTGTGTTACATCTTCCAAAACTTAAAAAGAATAGACACTTTAAACACAGTCTTACTGTCAATAGTTAATGATTCTGAACTAGCAGGAAACACATGTAATATCATATTTCAATATATAAATTATAGCAAGTAAATATTCTAAAGTGCTCCAAAATGCAAAATGTTCTAACAAAATTACCTTAAAATACTAATTCTGTTTAACAAAACATTTCTATTTCTTATTTTTCATGAAATGCCTTAAGTGTGTTGTTTTTCTTTCTTACTGAACTCATATATACTGCTGATAAAATCCAACAAAAATAATTACTAATGTGATTTGCATTACTATTTGCAATAAATCAGAAAAGTTCTTTGTGAAGCTAAACTGCCATATCAGTTTAGACATTCTGATTAAGGGATTTCTTCAAGCTGTAAATGTTTTCATGAATTTCAGTGAGGAGATGAGAAATTAAACCCGTTCCTTGTGTTTGACATTTACCAAAGCTTTTAAAAACTAGTTTTGAAATGCCTTCAATGTAAATTTCTTCCTTGGAAGAAAAAGATCTTTATTGTATGGGGTTACAGTCTAGGTGATAACTGAGTGAAAACAGAGAAGCAGAAATGTGCCAACTCTCAGGCTTACCTCAAACTCAGCGTGCTTGTGGACATCTTCAGCTCTTTGTCGGTTCAAAATAAATTCTGCTTCATTTGCGACACGCACTATATGGTCTTTCATTGCATGACATAATAATCTAAAATAAGAAAAATCAAAATCAACCTTTGTATTTGATGTACTTCAAGTAAGCTATTTCAGCAGATTTACTTAAGATGGAAAAAATTAAATTTAATGAAACTATTGTAATGCAATTGCCAAATTAGTTGACATGAAAAATTAAATTTTATCCAAAATTTTCTGCATTTGTGAAACAGAAACAATTCATGTTATATGGAAAAAGCTTGCTATTTATTATTGAAGGGAAAAGTTCTTTATGGAAGTATTATATTTCTAGTATGTTTTTAACAGCAGTCTCAATACGAATATGAATACTATACTATCATTAAAAAAATAATCTAGACAACTGCTTAAACTCTTATTGCTGTCATTATATCATTAAATATAAACATTCCCATTTCAAAAAGTCTTAAAATTATGAGATTCCTGAAGATTTAAAATTCTATTAGAATTGCAAAATAATATAAATATCTCTCATATATGTTTTTCAAACACTGGAGTGAAAAGTGCATCATGTTTCCAAGTTTTCATGGCATCAGAACTAGGCAAACCTTACTTAAAAAGAAGGACAAAATAGCTTAAGATTGGACTGAGACTGAGGATGTCAATCAGACACCTTAAATTAAGACTCTTGTAAAGACCACCAAATACCATGAGATGCATAATAAAATTGCAGCATAAACAACACAGTGTTGTTAATAACACTGATATGTTATTAGGCAGGAAGAATGGAAGCAACTGCTTTCTCATCCCTACAGTCCATATCTAAGCTTGCCCATTCTATTCAAAATTGCTTTGCTTTTCTTATCAGCAGGGAGGAAATATCTTTTAGGACGCAAAGATCTGACAGGTCTGTTTAGGATCAGGAAGAACTGTTTCTCTTTGTGTCAAATTGGCACACGGTCTGGGATTTTCCTTCTTGTAGCATCAGGGAAACACACTCAATTTCAGAGATTCTTATATTAAGAATGTGAAATTTCTTGCAAATTCTACCCTAAGGTTAGTGTCTGGTGCTTAGAAGCACCACAAATGAAAGCCATGATTATTAGAAATGAAAGCCATGATTACTAGACCTTACATCTATAAGATAGAAAGATCTGAACTCTATTCTTGCCTCCTTTGGTGTGTTCTACCATCTGTGAAGGAAGGAAATCACTTACGCTGAGCTAATGTTTAATGAGGGTGTGTGGCATGGGAAGACATAAATGCTGGGGCCTCTGTTTAGAGATAAAGACAAACAAGCTTGGAAAATAGTAGAAGTGAATGTTTAACATCTCCAACCAAATTTTGCATCACAGGTCTTCCTGAATTTTTCCATATGACATTAATGACCTGGAACTAACTAGCTAGGATTTCAAAACTGAACACACAGATTTCAATTGTCTACTAGCTGTACATCCCTTCCTGAATGAATAAACTATTAAATAAATGGAGCACAGTGCAAATTCAGTATCTTTGAGTCAGCTGTGGTCCAGGCAGGATTTCTAGTTCTAAATGGCTTTAGGTGAAATCAATAGGTTTCTTAGATACTGCCTGCCACCAAGAATTTGGTGAGAAAAGATCGAGACTAACTTTGATCTACTGGGTTTATTATTTGGGACATCTGAGCATAGTTTTTATACATCAAAAAACAATCTAAGCTGCCTCTGTTCATGAGCAATGATAAATACACACCATCTTTATCTTAGTCGTATTTATTTGTATTAAGAAGCATTCACATTCTCTGTGCCCATTTATGCACTAAAACAGCTACAAGGGACTTCAAATGGATTCCCAGAGAATGTTAATTTCCACAAGTTATAAATAAATCTCCTGCCAATACTCAGGGAAAAGATATTAAAAAAAAAAAAAAGGAAAAAAAAAGATCTATCGACACTAGTCTCTGGTCGCTTTACAGAAAATGAAAACTTTTATAGACATGCAGCAGATGATTCAAATCAGCTAGCTGAAACTGGTGGTGACCCCAGCTGTACCTCCCACCCCCCTAATGGACCTTTCTGCTCCACAGACTGAGACACCTGGTACATTTGGGAACAGCTTCAGAGTTGCTGCAGCTTTTGGACAGCATGTCAGGCAAACTAAGCCAGATTTCAGGTAACCTCGAAATGCCACAGGTCTTCAGGGTCCAAAGTCAAGGAGATGACAAATAAGAGGGGACCAAGGAACATGCCTGAGCACTGGGTCCTGACTGCCTACAGCACTCAAATCATTAGCTTGGCCTCCACTCATTTTTTTGGCTTATTCTAACTTCCATCCAGAAAATATATAGGCATGGTCCAAGGGACAGTTCACTGAAGACACATCCATGAGACTGAATCAACTTAAACTCTCTCCGGTGCTACCCAAGAAAGTTCTGCAGGTGTTTTCACGCCATACCCCAGCACACATAGAACACATCATTCTAGTGGGTAGCCCTCACGTTGTTCCAAACAATCTGAACTAAACAGACAAAATAGTAACAATATCTTAAGGTGAAACAGGAACTGTACAGGCTTCAGGGAAGAGCTGGACTAAGTGCTACGTAGGATGAATGATGACACTCTGCTCTAGCAGGTGCTAACCTTAAGCAGTATGAACATAGGCCAGTCCAGGCTATTTGGTTTTATTTAAAACTACAGACATACTTGCTCTCTTCCTTTTTGTTTGTTGTCAAAAATCTTATCTATGGAATATCTCAGTATTATTTCAATTGTGTCTAGCCAGTTGTTTCATGCACTCTCGTATCTCTATCACTGATTGCGATTTCTTCAAGAAAAAGATGAAAAATTGTATGGTGGTCAGCACATTGGGATTATGACAAAAGTGAGGCTACAACCTATCAACACTATATAATCATTAAATAATATTGTATCAATGTGTGCTAATAAGGGACATATTGTGATTCACTTACCTTAGGTGCTTGTATGCACCTAAGATAGAACTTCAAAGACTAGGTAAACTATGCTTTTGCATCTAGAAGACCATTAAGAATTACACTGGTCTTAAAATCCCTTGCCAGAAAGACAGACTTTTGAAAAAGAGAAGGGTTAAAATCTAGGCCATCATTTAGAAATCTTGCATGCCTCCAAAAGAAGCCTTAGCCTGGATGTTTTGATTTGTAAGTGCAAGAATGTAGGGCAGAAAACAGAAGCATAATAAGTTAAAGTGGTTAAATGTGTCATCTTAGCTTTGAAAGGAAAGGCAGCTACTACAAGGTCAGGGAAGCAATGCCTTACAGAGGTTTTTGCAAGGAACTTGCTTATGTGCTTGCTGTACTTGTTCAAGGAAACTTGTTACTTTTTGAAATTTAAAAACACTACTTAAAAATAATTTTTGTGGTACTGATTTTTACTCCTAACAGGAAGTTATCCTGTATTCCCAAACTATATTTCTACTAAGCAAAAGATGGCAGAAGTCTTATTACTGTTATATCTGGATTAAATAATAGCCAGCTAACTCTGAATCTCAAATTCATATAGACACAGCACAACTCAGCATACTGTCCTAACTGGGCTACACCTGATGAACGTGCATGGTAATGTCATCATCCTTTTAATACTTTCCAATTTATCTAAATCCTTATTAACTCAATCACATGCGTGGCATAAGATTAAAAAAAAAAGAAACCTCATGCTTTTCTGGCATGAGTAAAAGTGCTTACAACTTTTGGATTCTCATAGAAAAAAACAATAGAAATGATTCAGAAGGAATCCCAAACCAGGAAAGATACTCACTAGTATCAAAGGCTGCCAATGCATCAAAAAAAATCTCCATTCACACACTGCAAATAAGAGAAAGGAACAAGGACCTCTAGGTCAGCAAATTCACTCCTTCACTGCAACAGGCAGCTACGTCATACAAACTCTTTCATAAACCATCTTTAGTTTATGAAAGGCATTTTCATGAAATCTAGCTCATGAAATATGTCTTCAGTTTATGAAAATGTGATCGCGTTGCTTGCCTCCAGCACAGCTTTGGAAGGTCCTCTGAAGGCTAAAACCCTTTGGAAAGTATCCAATCCAAATGTATTCTTCAGCAGTCTTTACTGTTTTATTTTATGCAAATGTTGTCCTTAGGTTTACACAACTCTTCTTCCTTCTGTTGACCTTCTGATATTCCACCTATCCCTATTTTACTAGGCTAAGTAAATCAGCTCTCTGACCTTTCTTGTATGGCAAAACAGTTAGTAAAAGAGATTGCCTTTTGGGTTTTTACTAATTTCATACACTGATTTCACCTTTTGTCCTGGTTTCGGCAGGGATAGAGTTAATTTCCTTCCTAGTAGCTGGTACAGTGCTGTGTTTTGGATTTAGGATGAGAATAATGTTGATAACACACGGATGTTTTAGTTGTTGCTAAGCAGTGCTTACACTAGTCAACCACCTTTCAGCTTCCCGTGCTCTACCGACTGAGAAGGCTGGAGGTGCACAAGAAGCTGGGAGGGGGCACAGCCAGGACAGCTGACCCAAACTGGCCAAAGGGACATTCCATACCATGTGACGTCATGCTCAGTACATAAACTGGGGAAAGCTGGCTGGGGGGGCTGCTGCTCGGGGCCTGGCGGGGCATCGGTCGGCGGGTGGTGAGCAATTGCATTGTGCATCACTTTGTGATGTATATGTATCAGTTTTGTATATTACTATTAATTATAATTTTATTTCAATTATTAAACTGTCTTTATCTCAACCCACAACCACCTGGGGCGGGGGAGTGAGCGAGCGGCTGTGTGGTGCTCAGTTGCCGACTGAGGTTAAACCACAACACCTTTTCTACAAGTGCATAGCTAAAACTATCAGCAGTATTCTAGACAAGTTCTAGTCACTATTTACATAGTAACATTAATGCTGCCTTATTTCAATGGAAATGTCTTTTCTGATGCAATTCTAGAATTGTGTTTTCCTTTTTCTTAGCCCTATATTCTATGATTTTGCACAAGAAAATTTCAGTGATAGGTTGGTCTTTTACCTCCTCAGACATTTCCAAGAGATGAACCAACAGTCTCTAGAATATATTCTCAAGAACATGAACTCCATGTTATGT